GTCAATTATTCAAATTGGTTTCAATAGTTTCTGTTTAAGGGAACCTACATGAGGAAGCCACATTCAACATGGCTGCTGAATGTCATTTGTATCGTTTGACGTTGGATAACTGATTTGTTTATTTTTGATTATATGTGTAATGTAATGTTATTGAGCAATAATGGTAAGAACTTACTCATATGTTGTACGTACCTTGCTTGACGTGTGTAAACGGTGTACATCACTTCTAGGATGGATGCGCTCCTACTCGGTGCACGCCGCCTCATACGGAGCCGTCTGAGCTGCCTTGTGTGAAAAACATTCTCCGTGGTCTTCTGCCTCTTCTGTTCACGCCGAGTCCATCGTTGTAAAATGACAAAACAGAAATCCTAAAACTGCTCACATTTGATGCCACTCCATTTTTGTTTATATTTCCAGAAGGAAGTTGCGCTCAGTGTAGGGCTGCGACTAGCCATTATTTTAATAATCGATAATCTGTTGATTATTTTTTTGGTTAATCGATGAATCTGCAAAGGAAAAAACAAAGGTTTTAATTCCCACCTTTTATTCCAAAATTTGACTGACATAGAAAATCACACAAAAAACAGCTTACTACTTGACTATTCTGTTAGTAAAATATTGAATAATTAAAAAATATAAATTTTGTCAAATAGCTTCAATAAAAAAAATTAATGTACATAAAAATATATACAAATGTATACTTTATACCTGCACAATATGTAGCAAGTTTGTAAAATGTGTCCTTGAAGGAAGAGTGTAACCTGGATTAACCTGGATTAACCTGGATTAAAAGTGTGGATCGTTGTAGTGAAGCCTTCGTGTTCAACCATGGACAGAGGCCTCATGTCAGTGACGATCATGTTCAGGATGTTTCAGTGAAGACAGCTGCTGCTGTGGTGTCCATGATGTCTGTCCATCATGAAGGATGTTGTTGTTTGTTGTTGTTTTCTGGAATGAGACAGTAAATATGTTTTATATCATAATTTACAGCAACTCAAGAAATGCCTTGTTTCACTTACAGTGTTAGGTTCAGGCAAAAGTAGCTAAAAGAGCAATTAAACACACACACACATATATATATATAATACTTAATTCCACACATTTGAGTAGATGTAATAAATTACTTTAATTCCTGTTTAAATGCAAATCATCCTGCCATACCTGCAGTGTCTTCAGACTTTGCCAGCAAATAAAAGTTGAAGCTTAATCATTAAATTATTATCTTTGTGTTAGATTTATTTATAAATCACATTTAAACACTGATTGTACCAATTAAATTAAATAAAAAGTAACACACGTTCTCTATCACCGTCATTAATCAGATAAACAAACAAACAAACAGCTTCATCTACCAGACAGACTGACGTTACGTTTTCTCTCTTGAAACAGAACAAAGTGTTAAATTGTAGAGACTCACCTGCAACACATGAAGAGTTGTATCAGCTGCAGCTCCTTCCTCCTCCTCGTGACTCCCACATGTTTACGTTTATCTCCGTGGTTCTCCCGTGTCGTCACTTTTCAAAGCTGCATGTTGCTCAGTTTTTATCTTTGTGAAGAGCTCCCACACTTTGGAGGACTTGGGTCGAACAGTTTTCTCTGCGTCGGTCATTTGTCAAATTTACTTAATTTTCTTTGAAAACAGCCTCTGCTCTGCCTCCACCTTGCTGTAAAGACAGATCACCTGCTGATGTTTATGCTGCAGGAATCTTCATTGACTGAACAGAACCAAGTGACTACACCAATGCCCCTTTTCCATAGGGACAGCTCGGAACGGTTCAACTCGGTACATGTTGCTTTTCCATATGCTCTTCAGCACCGGTTCTAGTGGGCGGGTCCAGAATCCAACTCGCCTTACCAGCTGGTGACGATAGTGCTCCATTAAACTATTTACTGGCCACCACTAAATGTATTAGAAGAAGAAGACCCTGAAAAGATGCACAACAAAAATGAATGAGAAAAACCCAGCAAGAATGAATTATTTCTATGGTGAAACAGCACCGCTCAGTGGTGAAGCTACATATCATTTTAACCATGACGTAAATATGTCAATATTTTAACAGAAATATGAGTGGCGTAAATTAGCAACATAAAAATTGGCGGAGATGGAGCACATACTTTTCTAAGTAAATTAAGACAGTTCTTATTCATAAACAGAATTATACCAGTACATTTTCCTTAATCTAGCATATTCAACGGCAATCCGTGTGCCCCGGAAGTATTCATTTTAGCGCATGTGCAAATGAGCTACCCTACAGATTGGCTTTCATAACAAATCGGGGAATGACACTGCCGACCCGCAGGAGCCCGTGAGGCCGGGGTCCAGAGCCCGAGCCCCGGTGGCCAGCGGAGCTCGGAGCTGAGGATGTGATGCCCTGCCCAGCCTGAGGGGGGCTCCGATGGAGAGGACGGGGAGACCGGCAGAGCTCCATCTATCTCGCTCTGACTTTTTGTCGTCTGCCACCAAACACAAAAATGCCTGCCCTTCAGCATTAGTGATGTGTTCTTTCGTACTCATCTGCTCACACAGACTCATGTTCATGCTGCTGTTCGGCATAATGTTTTATGCTTTTTATGCTATTAGTGATTAGCATATTTTTAGTTGAAGTTTTTCTTAGTTCATTTCTTAGATTTTATTGCTGATTTTTTTTTTTTACATTTTATTGTTGGATGTAACTGGGACCCTGTGTACACAATTTCGTTCCACCACACGTACCACATGTGGTGCAAATAACAATAAAGAAACTGACTCTGACTGATTAGACCACGATGTTGTCAGTATTGTTTTTAAAATCTTAAATATAGGTCCAGCTTTCTCCAAGTTTGAGTAATTGCAAATGGCGGATCGGGTTGTTTTGAAAGTTTCTCAAACAACCAGTGACTCCGCCCCTGACCAATCAGTGACCAACAGTGTTCTGTTTTGGTGCCGGCTCGGTACGGTTAGAACCCCAGAGAAAAATGGATTGAAAAAGGGGCCGGTTCCACGAATAATTGCTAGTGGAAAAAGTCTTGGATCTGTACCGAGCCGGGTCGAACTGTTCAGAGCCGTCACTATGGAAAAGGGGCACAAGTCAGCTGAGGCCAGAAGATTTTCATTGGTCTACAGAACTGTCTGCTGCAGCAGGCAAACGTCAACAATGGACACATTGAAAAACCTGGACAAACAGTTTTAGACCAGGGTCTTGTACCCTGAACGGTTTCAACACTTTTCCCTTTGCCTCTCGGTGGATACTGGACCTGGTTCTGGTGTGTGTTCAGGGCAGCCTTATAGCACCACTTGCAGGCCTAACAAGAGCTGCTGCAGAGTTTGGGTCATTTTCTGCGTTTCCTTGTGGATACAAAACGTTCCAGAGACAGTGTTCCCGTGTGGGCGGGAGGTGTTCATGAGGTGCGGGCCACATTCAGACGTGTTCATTGGACCTGCATGGGAGCATCAGGAATCAAAAATGAACCAGTCTGGATGATCAAAAGTCAAACGCGAACCAGTCTGGATGGTCAAGAGTCAAACGTGAACCAGTCTGGATGGTCAGGAGTCAAACGTGAACC